ATGTGTGTGTGTGTGTGCGTGTGTGTGTGTGTGTGTGTGTGTGTGTGTGTGCGTGTATGTTTTTTTTGTTTGTTTGTGTGTGTAATATATTGATTAATTTCAGTCTTTGTTAACTCTAAAAATAGAGAATTGTAATGTGATCTGTCACTACTGTCAGTAACACACAAATTTCGATTTTTAGAGTTCAGTAGGCATATAACCATTACAAATTTTGAAGAAAGCTAACTATTCAAAGATTTACCAGATATCTTATAATTATATTATTTGGTCTTTGTTGCACACTACCGTATTATTAACTGAAACAAGAGCTTAAACATGGAAGGGTGACAATATTATTGTCTATGTTGTGCGTGCAAGCAAGCAAGCGAACAAGCAAACACACACACACACACACACACACACACACACACACACACACACACATGAGGATAATTTGAACATTAAAAGTTTTCTGATTTGAGACAAGATGAAGAGCATTTTGAAAACTGCTTCCAAATTTGCCACGGTCATTAAGTCATTCTATAGTATAGACACCCGAGACATGACATTTTTTTTAAAAAATAATAAAACTCTCCATTCCAGACCAAAAGATGTAGTGAATGTGATTTCTGAGTACTCCCAGCAAGATACTGTATTTAAAAGATTTTAAAAACCTATAGTCACAGACGTCAAAGTGTCAGAGAATATCAATTTTTCTTTCTGCTGTCATCCTGCACGATGCAATATAGTAATATTATAATATCAACTCAAGAAGGAAACATGCAGCGTCTTGGGGGCAGGTACCGGAGTCAAGAATGTTCGCGCGCTCAACACTGACCGTTGGGTTACAGTGTTTGCCTCTCATTCAATAGATCCCAGGTTCGAAACCTGACAACGACGGAAAATTTTGTTCTCTAATTTAATATTCTCCTTTCACCTCCTTCCCTGCGCTCTGACCATTATTATGTCGTCTGCTTTCGTCTCCACTTTCGGCTCTCCCCCCTCCTGCCCCCCCTCCTCTGGGCTCCTGACTCTTTCTGCCGCCTCTCTTCTGCTTCCCACCCCTTGGCTCCTTCGTACTACTGTCTTCCAGCCACACCCATGATCTTAGGGTAAGTAAAATCTAATACCTAGCCTTCTCCGATAATTCTCGTAGGTCCCGTGTGCTAGTTGGGCACGTTGAAGATCCTTTGGTGGTCCAAAATCGATAAAAGGGTAAGCTTCGCCACCACCTGGGCAATATTAAAAATTCATGCTTACCAAACTGAAAATGATTAATGTGTCCTGCGCACTCATACGATCTTATGCTGTTGCGAGCCGTAAAACACTTTCCCAAAAACAAACAAAACAAAAACTGCTGCGAGGCTTCTACGTTTGGTTTGCTGAACAGCTGCTGGATTACACCTATAGAGAGTGCATTATTATTTTAGCGGTTCAGTTACAGCGCGGCTACGGCTCAGATCAAAGCTTTTGGTGTGAACACAGCCTGAGGCCGCGTTCATATTAGGCTATTTTACGAGGTCTAAAGTCAGATGTAGATTAGAAGTAGTCCTCTTGACGAAGGATATGTTAATCTTGCAACTACATGTACCCCTCAAATTCGTCCATTCCGTCAAAGGCCGCCCCTTTCTTCTCCCCCACCCTTGCAAACCTCAAATAAGACGTGCAATTGCTAATTTTAGCCGATTACAAGCCAATAGGAGGCAGGCAATCCAAGCAGCGTGTCAGTTAGGCCTAGGCTACTAGCGCCTGACTGAGATTGTGCTTACGCAGACTTCCTGGAAACGCACCGTTTCTGAGAAATTTGTCACGGAGCGTCTGCGCATTGCGCTGTAGGCTAGGCCTATGGTGTGGCTGCGGCAGCAGCGGTTTAACTTGGTTGTATGTTGCGTGTGGCAGTCTGTAGGCCTACTCAGTGCTTTTGTAAGAGGGCAGAATTTGCAGTTTCAGTTTGTGAAAATGAAACAAACGCCATCAATATTACTGTGGTTTTTAAAGGTCTTGACTCAGACTCGTCTTTGGTTGTCTGCAGTGACGAGGGTACATGTGAACTTGAATTACCGTGGTTGTCCAGATCTAATCTAGATATCTAGAATCTAGATCTAGATCTAGATCTAGATTAGGTCTAAATTGTTTAGTGTGGAAGTCAAAAACAGTAGTGAACTGAAGGATTTCAAAGTTTGTTGAGGTGAGCTTTCTTGCGTTGATAACTTCTTGTTTTTCCTCTTCTTCTTCTTCTTCTTCTTCTTATTATTATTATTATTAACACAAATTTTGTGCTTGTATATTATGCAAAGATATAGGGCCTACTACACAAACACCGTATACCGGGGTTTTAAAATTATTTTTTTAGACGCTCGATTTGAATTTGTGTTTTCGCTATATTTAACAAAATTCGCGGATTCAAGTGATTCACAAAATATTTATTTTTAATTAGGGCACTAATTCATTGGACCACATGGTAAATCAACTGAGCGACTCAAATTAAATCGTGAGTTCAAGACTAATGGGCCAAACGCGACTAGAATCAGAGAGAACGAAAAATACAACCAATGTGAAGTGTATGACTATATATATTGATATATTCTGATTTGACGCAAAGTTTATTTATTTTTGGATACGATGTGTACATTGTATATAACTTGAAAATTGCGTCATGCGCCTGGTTTGTCCATTTACAAATGTTTCAGGTCTATATGGTACATGTCTACTCTTGTACGAAGCATACACGAATGTGAACAGAGAATTTATAAAATCAAATTTTAATAATATAAATATAACCATGTTGCTTTTTTCACTCAAAAGTATCATTCTACAAGAGAAGTTTAAGTGTAAGGTCAAGTTTTGTCGGGGGGGGGTTAATATCATGTGGGAGATTGTTCTGATACATGTTCTTTCGTAGACCTCATTACTGTTTAGGCTAAGCGAGCCAGGTTCAAACAATTCATTCTGGTACGCGGCGGCGCCTGGTATCGGCAGAAGAAGGTCTCAGCGTGAACGTTCCCTTTTTGTTTGTGAAAATGGTCATTAACATTAGATTTATATTTCAAACCATTTTGCAGAGGCTACCTGTGTCGCTTAACATCTGCCATCCAGCCTTGATATGCTTTTTTACTATAAACCTGGATGTTCTAGCCGTTATAGTGCTCTCTACACAAAGAGATTATATAAAGAAAACATAAAGGATAAATTCAGTCTTTATAAGACTCACTGTTAGTCGTAAATCCTACGTCTACGTGTGGCG